TCTTCTTTACTGATGTACGCAAATTTTTAGCGAGAAATGCAAGTTATTGCGAAGACTCGTTATGTAAAAGAAGAAAATTTGTGTTTTATCTCATCAGAATAAAAGACTAAAAATTTACATTTACATATATTTTTTGTTTGGTTTTGTCTAAGATAGTCAATTATTACAGTACAGTAAAATTACTATTGATGTTTCGTAGCAAGAAAGGGGGTTCGGTGGCATGGTGGTCTAAGTAGTCGAACTACTCTAACACTAGCCTGTCAACACTGAGGTTGTGAATACGACACGTGGCAGTTGCGCTCGACTCTAATTGAGTAGGATAGTCAGTTTTACTACCCAAGGTGGTGGTTCTATCCGGGCACTCTGGCTCCCCCCACCAATACAAACTGATCGCCATGAAAAAGCGCAAAAGTGCTGAAAGTGTTTAATTACCAACCATTTGTGTTTATTTCCTGAAAAGACATATTTGAATTATCTTCTAATCTTCTTCTGATTATTAATGTACCATTGTTTTTTTTTCTGAGTGTCATCCTTACATAATCTAACAACTTTGAAAATCTGTAACTTGAAAAAAAGCGTCGTGATCCATATTGTTTATTATATCTTTTTGAATCAGTATTTTTAAGAGCATTATTTACGACATTTTTGAAAAGTATGATGTTGAACATGTTTTCGAAAACTCGTCAGATTAAGTGACCATAATCTTATACTCATGTATCCCTGGATTGTGTATATAGTATGCGTTGTTGTCATAAGATCTTATCTTACCATTAGTATTTCAATTTTTCGTACAAATCCATTGTGTCGACTTTTCCTATTTTTAACAATGTTTTTTGTGTTGTAGGCTTAGTCCTAAATAATTTATTTCAAGCAAGCTTTCTTATCTCTCCCACGATCTTATCGTACAAGGATAAATGCATGCATTTAATAAAATCTTAATAATAACAAGTATTCTTTTACTGGATAGAATGGAATTAAAGGAAAAGTTAATTCTTTTTTAACTTTTTGTGCTCGATCGTCACTAGTCTTTTGTAGACAATACGCGCGTGTGGCGTATGAATAAACTCATTGTAGATACCAGGAAAAAAATTGTGTACGCTAGACGCACGTTTCGTCTTCAAAAGACTCATCAGTGACGTTTGAATCAAAACGTAATCTGGTTTATATGATGAGTTTATTCACAATAGCTTACTTTGGTTTGCCAAGCTTAATCAGTATCGGATTAAGGAACTGTAAAACGGGAGGATTGGTATATTGTGAATAGGGGACGGTATGTACCAAGTTCACTATACAGTATAAGTAAACATTGGTATACATTGATATACTTTGTAGTTTTTGGACACTTGTTCAATATTAGGTGATGTGCGTACAAAAACAAAATTGGATAGCTATAAATGAGAAGTCATTGTGGTTCATTGTTAAATTCAATGGGCCAGCAGCCTAACGTAAATACTTACCAGCATAGACATCTGTGAACTATTTTGGATGAAAAAAAAATCGAATACATTAGAAAACCTCGTATGTTGACCTATTGGAAACATAGCTCTGGTAAACAGACCCATGAAATTGGAATAAAGAGCATATCTGTCAGATCACAAACATAAGGCTGAAAATAAAATGTCTGGCTTATATCTATACGTGTACTTATGTCTCCTCTATTTGCAGTGTGTCAAATGTTTTTGCATAAATATGCCATATCATCAAAATCTTCCGCGTGATAGTTATCATGATAACATAGCAGCACAGTAATTCTTTACGCTTTGTGAGGATAATTTAGACATGTGATATTGACATAAAAATTTCAATACGGTGGAACAGAAAAACAATTCTCTACGCTTTTAAGGGTAATTTCTTTGGGTACATTTCGAATCATTTATTGATTAATTGAATGTCAGAAAAAACTCAAGCTTGTTTTTTTTCAAACTGATAATTAGAGAGAGCTTGGCATACTACTTGATATGGATATGGATCGAGAGTCATTTGACAAGTTATGCACCTGGACTCATATCGTTACGTGTTCATCATATTTAGGCGATTCAGATTGATTGCACTCTTAGTTTTTGCATGTTTGATACTTACACTGATATAATACTCTTATAATTAGCTGAGTGGATATATTGGACAATTTTGACTCGTTTATTCCTGTTTTCATATACATGCTCTACATTATATATAAACCACCATGTTTTTACCAATAAAACGTTAGAAAACATACACAATTATAGATCTTCAGCTTAGAGTCAAAGTTTATCCATAGAACCCTTGTTCTTCATGTATCTAAGAAGCAAGGTCATTGAGTGATAACCGGTCATAACATATCGTTTCCTGTAAATTTTTTCGACGTTATTGACAAGAGGTAGAGGAACCAAGGAGACAATCCAAAACTAGAAGACGCAATAAAAACAGATAACACAATAATAAAAAATAATTGTAGGATATTCAAAAAATATTGAAGGTCAAATTCGACCAATTTTCATAACTAGGTAAAACGTCCTTACTTGCGAAGATGTTAAAATGGTAACAAAATATGTTCGTAAAACTTTTTAGAGATTAATTAGTTATTTTGTTATTTACTTTATACACTGCATTTTTGTTTATATTTCGGGGAATTATTATTATATCTGTTACAACTGATTTGAATAGGTATTGTTTGACATTCAGTTTTCTATATGTTTTTGTTCTTCATATTTGTATCATCTGAACGTCTTTGTCGGTTGTCTTTCTATGAGTGAATAGGGTGTACGGACATGTGCATATCTACAGAAATCAAGTACAATGATATTGTTGCTTATTCTCTTCTGTGTCTTTTCTTACACTTACCATTAGCAGTGTTTCAATCATGCATATCCAATCGTTTTAAATTTTACTCTAAAATTTATTATAATAATAATTGAGCGAAATCAATGTGGAGAACACATCCGAGATATTCAGCATATTGATTACTACATACATATGATTTGCCGTTATGTGTTATATGTATAGTAGGCATGTAGTCCGTGTAATTATGTTTTGTACCATTTCACATGTGGAGAAGGATATGTCTACCTTTCTGAACTTCTGAGATTACCCAAGGTATGTATGTGCTTTGTTTGCGCTGCTCATGCTTTAGTTTTTCTGTGGGCTGTTTTGTAGACCGTTTGTCTTTTCGTCCGTTTTCGTTTATAACATGGCGTGGTCAGTTTGTTATCTAGAAAATGCATGTTCTAAGTTTTATCTCTGAACTAGTACACATTTTTATTTAGGGGCCAGCTGAAGCACGCCTTCGGGTGCGGGATTTTCACGCTGTGTTGAAGACCCATTGGTGGCCTTCGGCTGTTTTTTCACTCTTTGGTCGGGTTGTTGTCTCTTTGACACATTCCCCATTTTCATTCTAAATTTTATAGTCGATTGTTGCAAGTTATCCAACTTTTTTGAGGTCCATTAATTAGTCAATATTGTAATAACGTAGTAATGGGGTTGCTGTTGTTTATGTTTTTCGTTTTTCATGATGATTTCGACGGTCTCTCTTCAAATGGTTAGTTTTAATTCTTCTGCTTATGGTATCGTTCGTCTGTCTCTATTTCACATTCAATTAGAACTAACATCTGTTACATGTTTACAGTTACTTTATTATAAAAGAAATAAAATAAGATTATAAAATATAAATGTATATCTACATATTATACATAAGTAACAAGACAAACATTGTTTTAAATAACATAAAGTGTTTACTTATTTAAGGGGAATTACGATGATAAGAACATGTAATTGTACTACTGATAATAAAAACATGATAATGTTAGTGTAAATGTTCTTTTAACATTGACCATGTTACATTTATATGTGCTTGTCCAAAGCGAACCCTTTTGTTATATCCTACAGTTTATTTTGTTGAATGATTTTTGTTTATATTATGGGGTCTACGTCTGACGTTCGATAGTTTCTACTGTTTTGCTGAGTGTGGATTTGTTTGCCAGGTGATGCATGCGTATACAGGAGACAAAAAAAATTGTCAAAGACTAGTCTTTTCCCTTTTCCCTAGGTTTTTGTTATGTTAACCTTTTATCCATCGTGCAAGTCTCTTCTTGAATTATCTATTAGAAGTCTTTGCAAAATATGAAATCTTTTTTTAGAACCTTATAAAACCTCGTATGTTGACCTATATATATGTCAAAAATATTAAGAGTTGTTGGGTTGCTGACCGTCATCTATTTCTATTCATACACCAGGATATAATGACAAAACAATAATGTCTGTCCCAATCCTGGTATGAAAATAGCTTTTATCACTAAAAATATCAAGATCACATTAAATTGAAATCGTCGCCTTAATTTTGATAGAAACAATTTGATTCTGTACTGCTGTATATTTGTTTCTTTTATTTTCCTATTTATTTCATTATCTTTGTATTAATTTATGCGTTTGAATCTTCTCATTTGACACAACAAAGATTCAACTCATGCGGATCATTAAGTCATAGCAAAGAAAACTCATTTTCTTTTATACATGCCAGTTTAAAACTAAAAGAGAAAAAGTCATTCTATATATAATACAGATAATACATTTTACATTTTTCCATTGGAATACATGTATATACGATATTATAATGTAACAATAAGATATCGTAATGTAACAAATGGATAACATTTTTCTCTCATTTATGATATATAAAATAAAAGATACTGTTCACAAAATTTGAGCATTACAATTTTTACTTTCTGAAAAATATCTACATCTTAATTCAAACAGTACCTTTCCTAGCTTTGGTCATCAATATATAACTATAAAACATCTGTGGACTTAAATAGCAAATCAAAGTAATATCTAAAACAGGAGACATAAAGTAATTTCCTTGTCCGCCTTATTTTAGTTCTGATTTTTTTAACAGAATATAACATATTTAATTTCAATAATTCCATTGTAATAAAATGTATTATATCAAGTTTCATTTCATATATAAGCGTCATAGTTACTAAAAATTGTATACGTCACATGACGTCACAAGTATTAATTCCTATACAGGTGATAAGTGATGATGAAGTTTTTATGAACATACATTTTAGTGCATTTTAATTTTTTTTTTCATGACTAGCTTTGTTCGGATCATCTCCTATTTAGTAAACTAAATATGAGCACCAATAATATATCTAATATTTAATAACACTTATGAATATCCCTTCTGAATGGATTAACAGACTTTTATCGCTATGCATCAGTAACTATATAAATATAGTTTTCTAATCAACAAAAAGAACGAAGATTGGTGTTTTCCCTAATCTGAACAAGGAGTAAAAATGCACTTTGTCTGTTATAAATACACACTTTATTGTTTTTCAATGCATATAACCCCAAAACTACTCCATAAACATGATAAAGAGAATAACACGTGGTCGCTCTATTGAACCAGAACATAAAGTATATGTTTCTGCTTTTTCTTCAAAGACATTTGTTTACTTGTTTTTCTGTACAAAAAACTGAAAACGATGAAAATCTCAAAGGTTTGAAAAGATAAATAAGAAGCATTTGTTACACTTCTAACATGATATTTTCAATTCTTATTTTTTCTACACTACACTTCGATATTCATGTCAAATCTTTATATATTTGCAATTAACAGATAGTTTTTCCCGCCACTAGTTATAGTATGTTAAATGCTTTTATCGATATTGAAAAAAAGCTCACGGACATATCTTTATTTTTGCCTATATATTCCCTACATATTTTTTACTAGAAAAGAAAAATAAGTCATCTTAAATTTCATTAGCAAACATCCTACAACTAGACAGTTATGTCTTAGCAGTGTATGTGTCTGATATCATTTTATTTGTTGATACAAATAAGAGATTTTTTATCAAGTAATAGAATCTTATAATTGACTGTTGGCAGTGTGAATCTTTTGTTGACTTCGCCCAGTAAAGTAATCTTTTGGAATCACAATCATATCCCCATCTTGCACTGAAAAATAAGAAATATATTTATATGGCTGTTTTTTATTGGTCCTTGTGAATCCACTGAACAGTATTGTTGGATCGATGTAAGATTTAACATGACTACTAACCCACTTAAAGTCATTATATATGTTCAAATCTTTAACATTGATTTTCGAAATTACAAACATACCTGCCAAGTTTCCCGATCCATGGAGGGGGGTCCCCTTGAGAGTTGTTGAGCTGACTCTTCATATAAACTAATAACAAGCATTCCCATATTTTCAAAATGGGATTTTAGCCCATATATATTCATTTAACCAATTTAAGGATGTTCGCTACTTTTGTTTTAGATTTTTTTGCCAGATATTCGGAATCCTCTGGTTTTATCCATGTAGTGCCATTAAAAATATTTCACCGCTTATCCATACTTTTCTTTTCATAATTTTATTACATATAGTTTAAAAAGCCATATTTGAAAATCTTATAGAATATAATAAACGAAGACAAATATTTTTTGAAAGAAAAAAAGGTGCCAATGTTAAATGTATGAAAAATCTAGAGAAAATCATTTCCCGCCAAATTTTCAATGGCATATATCTCGAAAACAAGCACACGGACCCTTCATTTTTTTCTGCTTTTTTAGTTCCTTCATTTATATACTATCAATTTATAACAGTCTTTTAAAAAGCTTGTTATTTTGAAACAGAGTAGCGAACATCCTTAAGATAAGAGACACTTACATATACGAATTACAATACATCATATATGATTACAATCCCCTTTGGAGCTTTTTAGGATTAGGCAGGAATGTACAATGATTTTATAAATGTTTACAAGAGTTAACAACTACTAAATACAATAGATATGTTGTTGCTTGCTTTTTATGTGTAGTGAATATTCAGGACATTTACCAAGTCATTACTTTATACACTGAAATAAAATAAAATATGACAGATACTCACATAATTCGTTTACTGCTTCATCCATCGGAATTGCGTTACGGAAAGGCGAGAAAAGGAATTTATATAAAGCTGCTGCAATAACTCCACCAAGTATCGGAGCAACCCAATAAACCTGTAAAATAAGTTGTTATAGTAAAAACAAAGTTTAATACTATGGTTTTTCATTTTTACTATCTTCCACTTTTTAGCAAAGAAGGGGATGAATTAATTCATGAGCAATATATTTCGTGCAATTCTTGCGTATACCAACACAATTTTAAGTATTCAACAAAATACTTTGTCTTATGTAGGATATATTGTAACCACAAAATGAATCATCCACGAAAAAAAATATTTTACTGTATTCTCGAAATTTATCTTTTCGAAAATTAACGAAGATTTTTTTTTTCCTTTTTCTTCATGGAAGCTGAGATTTAAAAGCGGAAGGGAAGTTAAACCAGAAATGACTGATTACCATTTTCTTTTTTTTTTTGGGGGCTAAAAATAATGCACCACTACAATGATTAGAAAATTTCTATTAACAAAAGTTGTCTTTCTTAGTTTATAAAACCAAATATATCAGTAAGTTTTGCATCTGCGGATAAGGTGCTTTGTGTTTATTTTCAGTGACTGCGAACACATATGTGGTGCGGTATTATTAGTATAAGTGGAATCTACTAAGAAAGACACACAACAGTTTTCAGTTTAGGACAACGGTCGTAAAGGGGAATGTCACCAATGCCTTCTCAGAATTATCTAAACTGGGAATTATAAATGTTGGATGAAAAGCAATTTTCTGTATATAACTATTTACACACAACGTGCATGTTTACATAAAAAAAACAGTGCAAACTTTAAATCAGCACAAAAAGGTATTTGAGTTGATCTCGAATACGATGTCATATAGGGGATTTAATTATTGAGATGAAACAAAGAAATTGGACTTCAAATGATTTTTTAATATATCATTGCACATGTTGCAACTAACTAAAAATGTAGGCAACTGTAGTTTACCGATCTTAAATCGATTGAAAAGAAGGTTACATACAAAAAAATGCAATGGTAAATCAAATGTAAGTCGTTTTCTTTGTTTATTCTTTAATTACATGCAGTCACCAGGCGTCGGTTATGATTTACCAATTTAACAGAATGATAACAACAGTTTTACAACAAAAGTGCTTCAATCCACTGAGACAAACAAGCAATTAAAGTTGCAAAATAACCTCTACAATCCATAGCATATACAAGGACATAACGGATCGATATAGGAAATGAAATGTAAGAAGAACGGTAGATACCATCTACTATGTGAAGCATGATATTTTAGTGTTTACCAAATAGAAACGGGAATCGTGGTTTTTTTCATCTAACACCATATTTTAGCGCCTCAGCAGCCCAAGCTGTCGGTTTGTTTTTGTACACGAACAATTTTAAGGGCTTATCCTGACAGAACCTGTTTCATGACTTACCCAGTGATCGTTGAAACTATTTGAGGCCACAGCACTACCAAGTGATCTGGCAGGATTCATACTTGACCCAGTGTAGGTAATCTGAAAAGACATTATTGTAAATTACTTTCAATTTATACAAAAATAGATGTATAGTCGTGTTATAAAAAAAGGAAAGAGAATAAGAATGATAAATTAAAGGAAAATATAGAAAATCAGTTAAGGTATTCCAACATTAAACTTGATGTTTGAACTCCCAACTGCAATTTTAGATTTTGTTGAATATCGATACAAAATAATAAAAAAGTATTCACACATATACTGAACTCCAAGGTTAATCAAGAAAAATTGGGAAGTCCATAAAACCTGACAATCCAAACGCTCGACTAGATTAACCAGCGGAACCTGTCATACAGTTGGTATAAATAAGATGATTAGGTACGAGTGCCAATGAGACAACTCTCCATCCAAATCACAAAGTGTAAAAAGTGTAAAAAGTAAACAATGTGTAAAACGTAAATAATTTTAGGTCAAAGTACGGCCTTCAATACGGAGCCTTGGTTCACACCGAACATCAAGCTGTAAAGTGTTTGTTTTTTGGTATCTATTCAAATTTAGACATTTAAGATATTGTTGAAAATAAACATCCAGTAATGAAATTTATTTTGATAAGTGTATATAATTAAAGTCAACATAATGTCAAAAGACATTAATAGAAAGGTAAAGAAAACCTGGCCTTTTGGTCATACAAATTTGGAGCATGATTATCGTACACGGACTTAGATATCCATCTATTAAAATACTGTATTTGGTGTTTCGGAAACACATTCTGTACTCCGAGAACAGAGTAAATTTGTATGACTAAAAGCTCAAAACTTCATTAATTCTGCAACAATATCATCAGTTTCTTTTGATATTATAGTATATGGTTCAAGTCAGCATATCATTTAACTGATGGATTACGGAAGCCATTATCTAAATCACAACAAACCACAGAAAATGTTAGAATCAAAGTAAAGTAAATAATCAAAGAGTCGTTGTTGATGAGGATAAATAATAAAATTTATCTAAACTGTATGGCTTACAAAACTGCAACTATGTAAAAAACTGAGTGAGTAACATTTATTTGAAATTGTCTAACCTCCAAATTTCTCAAATGCAACACTAAACACATGTGCGCACGGTATGATTTAATACTATTCTGCATTTACATTGCATTGACGAAATTAAAGGGTTGACACAGCGAAAAGTATTGCAATAATAATCATTAAAGAAGTGAAACTTTCCTTTTTTACTACAGCTCACTGATAAGTCGTTAACGACGATAATGAAATACAACAGACAGTAAAGACCAATATCGCATAAATATCTTTCATCTAAATCGATATTTTCTCTATAGAACTTTACAAAATTTCATTTCTAGTATCTATGATGAGTTTATTTACCTAATGATTTACTTAGAATATTGAGTTTAGTACGAAATCTTGTATTACTAAGGCATGAAATGAACATTACGTTTGAGCATATTTTTGTTTTCAATCAACCTGTAGGACAAACGATTTCGTTCTCTAACTGATACGCTGCGATTTTCACGAAAACACCAAAGCTACCGTATTGAAAACAAAAATAGTATAAATGCTTCTATATTAAACAGTTGTGTAAAAATTTAAAGTGATATTTTTTACAGAGTTAAATGTGCTTATTGTCATGTGACATCCGATCGAAATGAATACATTACATCGGATACCCTGTGCTTCTACTATTACATTTTACAACTTATACAAAAACAGATGTGCAGTTTGTTTTAAGAAAGAAAAAACAGAGTATTAATATGATAAATTAAAGGAAAATATTGAAATTAATAAGACTTCCAAAATGATGCTGGATATTGGAACTCTCAATTACAATGTAAGATACTGTTAAATATGAACACAAAATAATAAAAAAGAATTCACAAAAATACCGAATTCAGAGGTAAATTTTAAAAAAGGTGAAGTCCAGAAAACCTGACAAAATCAAACACTCGGCTATATCAACCAACAGAAACTTTCATATTATAAGTGTTTGTCTTTGGTATCTTTTTATTCTAAGGCATTTTAGATAATGTTGAAAATGCACATAAAGTAATAAGAATTAATTGTGTTTAATGTCCTTACAGACTAAACAGAATGTCTTAGGGCATTAATAGAAGATAACAGAAAACCTGGCCTTTCGGTCATACAAATTTCGAGCACGATTATCGTAAGCAGGCTAAAAAAAAACAACCAATCAAAATACTACATTTGGTGTTTCGAGTACACATTTTGTACTCCGAGTACGGATGAGTTGTATGACAGAATAGAGATCCGGGAACTTCTTTAATTCTGCCACAAAATCATCAGTTTCTTTTGATATTGTATAATAAGATTCAAATCAGCATACATTCAATTTGTGGATTGAGGAACCCAATATCATAATGACATCAAACCACAGAAAATGTTATAATGAAAGTAAATCAATTTATCAAAGAGTAGTTGTTAATGAGGATAAATAATGAAATCTATCTAAAATGCTTGGCTTACAAAACTGCAACTATGTCAAAAACTGAGTGAGTAACTTTTATTTGAACGTGTCTAATCTCCAAATTTCAAACATGCAACACTAAATAAATGTGCACGGTATGATTAAATTCTATTCTGCATTTGCATTGCATAGTGTATGCCGAAAGTAAAGGGTTTATTCAGCGAAAAGTATTGCATAAAAAAACAATTAAAAAAGTGAAACTTCCTTTTTTTCTACAGTTCACAGATAAGTCGTTAATGAAGATAATGAATTACAACAGAAATCAAAGACCAAAATCTCATAAATATCTTTCATCTAAATCAATATTTTTCTCGCTATAGAATTTTACCTAATGATTTCTTAAAACATTGAGGTTAATACGAAAGAAAATTATTTTATTATCTTGTAATACAGACTAAGACATGAACAAATTAAAATAACAAAAATATCGAACGCCAAGGAAAATACAAAATGAATATTACGTTTGAGTATATTTTAAACATTGAGGTTGATACGAAGTAAAATTATTGTTTTCATCTTGTATTGCTAAGACAGGAAAAAGTAAAACAAAACAAAAAATACCGAACTCCAAGGGAAATTCAAAATGAACATAACGCTTGAGCATATTTTTTGTTTGCACAAGACATGTAGGAAGAAAAGCTTCGTCCTGTAACTGAAACGCTTCGATTTTCATGAAAACACCAATGCTAACGTATTGAAAGAAAACAAATAGTTAACGTGTTCCTGTATTAAACAGTTACAAATGTATGTAAAAATGTAAATTCTAAAATTACGTGCTTCTTTCGCTTTGTAAACAACACCATGATAAAATTCTCGATATATCTATACTTAGAGCAAACTCAGAGAGACACATAATAATGGATGTTACAATATACCTCCCACGTAAATCCACATGTATCAGAACCTATTTACAAACGCTTTGCCGATATTTTGTTTTAAAAACTGAAATTGAAATAAGACTACAGAACTTTTATTCTTATTCGAATGCATAACAAAAAGACTTAATGCACAAGAGATCGGAGAAATCTACAAATCAAAATAAAATAAAATTCCGCGAAAGTTCATGAATGCTTTTGGCGCATTTAAGTCATTTCAAAACATGACGTCATACAAATGAAAACGCTAAAGCTGAAGGTTTTTCCGTTACGTAAACCATTGAAATTCGTATACTATTACATTAAAATGATTCTTTGAGGTAGGTGTTGTTTTATTTTCTATTCTAATGCATAATTCGCATATTTACTGATTTCAGCAAGTCAACATGGCGGCTCCTTAGTAACGAAATGTCATCTTTGGATTTGACCTTAGCTTACGAGAAAAACATGTAGATTAAAAATGGCAAATTTTTGGTTTGAGAATTAAAAGAATAAAGTTCATTTTTTCTAGCGGTTATTTACGAAATAATTCATGCAAGCTACAGATTTATTAGAAAGTTTAAGCTTTATCTAACAGGGAGAAAAAAAGAACAGCAGTACACACGGCATTCCCACCCTCGCTTCAGTTTTTAAATGACCGTATTTGTCCTATTAGAATTGAAATAATTCATGGAAGCCATAGATTTGTTGTAAATTTACACATGGCCTGGGCCGTGATATTCGTTAATTTTATCCCTCGCTAACGCTCAGGATAAAATTCGAATATCACGGCCCAGGCCATGTGTAAATTTCCAACAAATCTATGGCTTCCATGAATTATTTCTTAAGTAATATTTTTACGTAGTTAAATGTTTATTGTCATGTGATTTCCCGTCAAAATGTTTCCATTACATCGGATATCCTGTGGTTCTGCTATGACACGAAATGTTATTTATAAGATGTGTTTAAACGGATCATAGAAAATCTTTTTTAAGGCAAAATGTCTGTTCCTATCCATCTCATCTTCCTTTTAAAGTGGCAATATAAATTACCTCCCACATACAATCAAGTCAATGTACTGAACCGAATATACTTTCTGATTGTTTAATTTTATTTCTTGATAGTTTATGACATATTTGCTATATTTAGAAAACAACAATCAATTTATTTGTTTTCTTCAATATAGTTAACGATATATACAGTTGTATGATTTTCTTATTTATTCTTTTTTGCAATTTGAAGTATTATGAGCAATCTGAAGTATTGTTGAGCAATCTGAAGCTTTGTTGAGCAATCTGAAGCATTGTTGGTTAGAGGTAAAAAATTTCATTGGCGAAAAAGATCGTTCATATTAATCGTTGGAAACAGATGTTTTAATTTTCTATTTTTTTTTTTTTTTTACTAAGAGGATGTAGAAATAAGAAGATGTGGTATGAGTGCCAATGAGACAACTCTCCATCCAAGTAAATGTGTAAAAAGTAAACAATTATAGGTAAAAGTACGGCCTTCAACACGGAGCCTTGGCTCACACCGAACAGCAAGCTATAAAGAGCCCCAAAATGACTAGTGTAAAACAATTCAAACAGGAAAACCAACGGTCTAATCTATATAAAAAACGAGAAACGAGAAACACTTAAGAACCACATCAACAAACGACAACCACTGAAACAGGTTCCTGACTTAGTACAGGTGCAAACAAATGCAGCGGGTTTAAACGTTTTAACAGGCGCCAACCTTCACCCTAACCTGAAATAGTAGTGTAACATTACAACATAGAAAGACACACTATAAACTATCAATTGAAATGGCTTAACTCAATCAAAAAAACATATTAAGAAAGTAAGCATACACTGAACGAATAAATTTGATCTATGACACAATGTCAAAAAAGACAACTATAACCTTGGACAAAATGGCGTTAAATAAAATAACGTACACGCTTATAATAGTATTCCAACACTGCCTGTTTATAGTACGAATAACAAGAACATTTTAAATTCTCAAATAAAAAAAAAGTTTAATATATGATCTTTGAGGGGATGAGGAGAACTTACCCCTGCAAGATGAAGCACTGCTACTGTTAATCCTATAGCTACCGATGCCATACCAGCGTCGGTTCTATTTGAATCTATGGTGGATATGATAACAAAAACCAAAACAAATGTTAAAATCACTTCCACACCAAATCCCTGTCCTACGTTTAAAACAGAATTAATGGATGTTACACCAAGGTTATTGTGGTATGTTGATACGGTAACCCTGAAAAAAAATTATTAAAGATATTAACTTTCGTCATTTAAAGGTCTATTCTCCGTTAAGATAGATATGTATATATAACTATTTTGGTTATTTAATTGTTCGTATATCAAAATCAATATACATGATATGAATAAGTTTGACAGAATTGAGAATAGTTGGTCAAAATATAAAGAATAGAGAATAATGGAACAAACAAATGAAAAACAAAGAGAAAAAGAGCCTTCAAATTTTGAGATAAATACAGAAACGATACATCTAGTTTGTGAGAATGTTCTCACAAAACATTATTTTACGTTAAAAAACGATACCCATGCCTTATGAACGATCGATACTTTTGATTAAACAAATATCGGGCGGCAAAACTCCATGTATCCCGCTGACCTTATTAAGGGAAAGCACGAAAATTAATAAGATGAATTCAAACTCATCAATATCTGTCTTGGATTTTAGTTAATATCTGTTTTAGTAGTTTTTGATAACTCCTGACTTCATTTTAAGCAATGATGAAGAGTGCCAGTAGGCAAAACTGGTTTTGTTGGTCATTTTAAAATTGCATTGTGATATGATAAGCCTTGTGTTTGTTTTGTTGTAAAGAAAGGCAACGTTCTTATATCATAGGTACCAAAGTTGACCATTCTCTGGATAAGACTGTCATCATATTCATTTTGATTTATAAATGACGCTGCTATTAATTATGATTAATAAGATTTATTATGATGGTGTCCTAGTATACTCAACGCGGGAATAAATTCTTTATATATATATATATATATATATATATATTATACCACTGCATTGGGTGTGATACTATATATCTCCACTTGAGACAGTTGATTTTTCAAATTCAAAACTCGAGGCTCGCCGTTATCATATACTGTGGAATCATTATTATTCGTGGGATAACAATGTTCGTGGATTTTGTGGGTAAACGTGAATATAGGCTTGTATGCAGACTTTGGCAAAACTACGAAATCAAATATCAGCGAAAATGCCACAAAAATTAATGAATCCACAGTATCTTTCTTCCTTAATTACCCTTTTAAGATGAGTCCTCCGAGTACTGCGCCAACACTTTGAGCTACTGTGTATAATACTGCTCGGACAGGTGTAATGATTCCACAAGCGGCTAATCCAAACGATACTGCAGGATTAAAATTCCCGCCAGAAATATGTCCGAACATTTGAATTAAAGCCATTATGGAGATTCCAAAAGCGAATGCAATCTGTTAATACAATCATATATATATACGTACATGTATGTTTGAAGTCAAGAAAAGTAATTATACGCATCGTCATAGAACCACTTTTATCAAAGTGCTGGTATAAAATCTAATATCTTATAAATGTTTAGCTTTTACTACGCAGATATGTATGCAAATTCTACGATATAGTATTTTGTCGATGGAGACAGGTTTGTACATTGTATGCTTGGCAATGAATTTTAACAGTTATAAATTGCTCGAAGCCTAAAGGCAACCCTCAAATGTGTACATGCTGGTATAGAATTTAACATCTTATAAATATTTAACTGTTACTTCATTTGTGTGTATCCACGTTATTGTAATGTGTCGATAGAGACAGGTACAAACATGTACAGACAATGTTTGCTTGACAATAAGTTTTAAGCGTTATTACTATACATTGTTTGCAGACTAATGGCAACCCTCGGTTATCAGATTGAATGTTTCAACGGCTTTTTAAATGCATTTAATTTTTGTATATATAGATTGAAATTGGTGTTGACTATGTGCTTTTTACATATTTACAAATATACTGCAGCTGTGCTATTTGCGCAGTCAAATTACATTGACTGTATAATCACAGTCACTGGCCGTATATCGCCTTGTTTATGACATTGACAATGCGTTTGAACTTTCCGTAGAAATTTATTCATGACGTCATTAAAAGGTACAGGTTCGTGGAATTTTTACGTCGTTCGCTCCAAATTAAAAAATTATGGTTTTTACCCTAAATAATTCATTTGGAACAGTTGTAGGAGTTGCAGTATATAAAGAATAACCATACATTGTCTCGAAATATAAATTTTATTTGTACTCGGCTCAAAACAGGATAGACATGCTCGGCAAAGCCTCGCTTTCTACCTGTTTCTAAGTCTTGTACAAATAAAATTTATATTGTGAGACAATGTATGGTTATTCTATATTTCCCTTGCCTCTAGATAGTATCAGTCATTGACATAATGAATCTTGAAAAAATAAAAGACTACTGAATACAAATATGATAATAGACAGATAAAATATATAGTACTTCATAAGACTAATGTTTATAACACTTAAGTTTAATTCGGCACTAAAAAAACAAATAACGGGACCACCTTACTTCCATTGTTCGTAGCAGGCCCGAGGACACAGTTATTTCGTAGTGCATTTCTTTTAGACAATAAAGTCAAATTAAAAAAATCACACCTGCTCTATCTCAAAAAGATTTTTACAGTGTAGTGTACTACTATTGGGACAAATAATATCAAAATTATAGAAACTTCTACCAGCTCTAACTCAAAATATTGACAATTCTATGTTAAGGGGGTCTAAAATTCAGTTTGACAGCTTCAGACATACTAGTTTTTGACCTTTTTAACTGGACCAAATCACTACTTAACATAAAGATTCAGCACCCAATTTTTTTTAACATGTAATTTCATCCCCTTACATAATATTTCATGCATAAAATATAAAGAAATAAATTTGGAAAGTGTATGAAAAAAATTTGCAAGTTATACACTGTCCACACTAGGGACTATATTTGACAACGAAAATCGAAGGACGATAACTGTGTCCTCGGACCAGCAGGACTTGATACTAGCACAAAATGTACTCATATAACACTTGCTTTCTATGAACCTAACTGCTGATATTTCATAACTATATGAGTTTTAAACACACAATGGAAACTCAATTGTAGTTAAACAAAAATAGATTTCATTTGCTTTAAAATGATTAGATCAAACTGTTTTATCGCAGATAATAATACACTATTTTAAATCATTCTAACCTTAATAGTTGGTTGTGGGTTTCCATCTAATGGTACTGTTGATGCACATCCCAAAAATACAAACAATAATGTCCCAACAAATTCCGCTAGTACAGCTCGCCAAAATGACCATGTTTTTAATTCTCCGAACTGTAGAAACCGTACTTCATTCGGCTTTCCAAACCGTATTTCCTGTAGTTTGTTAGCGATGTACATCACATAAGCTTCCATACCGGAGGTTATTTTCGGAACGTTTGTTTTTATCCTGAAATTAAGAACCATACTTCAATTTTCAGTTTGATGATCATTGTCGTTTTGAATAGAAATTGATTTGTTTATCATGAAAGATGACAACATAATAACTTCGCCTGATTTCATCATGTGCTAATCATCTTCTGCTGAGAGAATAATGTCAGATGGACTGTAAATAGGTAATGTATGTTAAGAACGTTCATTAATAGAAGCTTAAACATAAATAGTGCATGATAAAATCGAAGAAATGATGAAGATTGTCAGGATGTTGTATTAACTGAGGACAATTATTCTAAGAGTCCTAATTGCAATTAAGGAGAACATATATTTGACAAAGGAATATAAACTGATGTAAAGCATGACAAATTCATTTGACCTTATAAGATATTAATGGTCTACTTGAACCAAATCATTTTACAGATTACATGCATATATGAGTAAAGAAAAGAACATCGCTGTATATGATATATGATAACAATACACAATTCGAGATATTGGATTGTTGGAGTAATTTGCAAGAATCAGATGTAAAATAAATAAGAATCTTAATTTACACTAATTAATTCTTTGTAAATCGTATTCTTTTAAGCATGAACATACATTTGTACTTAACCCGAATAATTCAGTCCCTCCCCATAATCGAACTCTCGTACTTGCGGGTTAATGTAGTCATCGTAGATCAGCGGAATATAACGACTGAATTATTCGGGTTAGAACATACTATAACGTAGAACGGATCTCTTTGATCTTTACTGTGGTATAGTATTCGTTACGGTATTGAAGCAGTTTTATGAAAATAACCATTGCTATCGGATTAATGTTTGAATTTCAAAACCAATAAAAGATTAATTATTTCCGGTAAAAAGCTACTTGTGGATTTATAATTTCCGGCTGAATGTTAAAATAAAAAACGTCAAAGGTTATATTTGCTACTTTTTTATTTGATCTGACTAGTACTCGTTAACCAATCAGATTTGAATAATCGTTAAATAAATCAACACTATAAATTTATTGCATTTCATCCTCAATACGCCGGTAGAATTCGTATGTACTCCAATTCTTAATATTGTGTAAAGGCATAGTCAAAATCCTTCATAATCACAAGTACATGTCAGTTTACATTATTTTATGTACATTTCAGTTGCAGCACATTTTACCTAAATCAAAAACAAGACATGCCGTGTGGTGCACCTTAGTGATACAGCTTCTGGTTTTGGAAGGTTCTTATTATAGAAAGCTTTACCGAAGATGAGTAAACGGATACGAGGGGTAGACGTCAGTAACTCATTGGTGTAACCAAACGATACAGATACCAAAATACATCGTGTTTGCTGTTCGTATACGTCTTTTCTACAGTACTTCGGTACTGACATTATTTATAACAAACTCTTCTTAAAATATCCGTTTATAAATTAAGAAATTATAAAGAAACTAAGGTTTCAACTCCCTCAGTCAAAGTTTACCCATAAACCTATCTTGTTTTGTTCCTGTATTGTTCTATGGATTCATTATATTTTTTAATTATTTTTCTTGACAAAATACGCTTCTGTTTCTAAGTACTAAACACAGTTGTCTGTCTTGTGTTCCTAATCGTTCCTTAAAGTATTCAGAACGTACATTTAACACAAATATGTTTCAACTGCCGTTAGTAACAATCCCATTGACTTCCCTCCATCCTGTAACCACTGAATACATGTTTTACTTAGAATGATGATTCTAGTGACAGAGGAACTGCTTACCTTTTCAAATCGTCTTAACGTAATCCCTCCCCTTTTTACTAAACCTTTGATGTTATAAGCAAAGGTTTTGGACAAAGATTTTTTCCACGTAGTCGTTTCCTGTTTATCTTCTCATTGGTTATTTTTTTCAAAAGTAATTTATATTGTTTACAACAAGAATATCCATGAAACAAACTCCTACAATTTGAATATCCATGCATAGCAATTCGCCGTTTCAGAATCTATAGAATTGTGGGTAATTTCATTGTTCGAAAATAGCGTCACGTCATTGGTTGAATTCCCATTGTTTAGAACGGTCTAGGCCAATCAAAACATTTTGAAGTACGCTTCTGAAAATATAACGCAAATAAACTGGAATCCGCTTGTATCACGCTACACTCAAACTCTATGAACAAAGTGTAGTAGTCAGTCGAGAACCAGCTTAAAACGCAAATTGAATGTTATGCTGCGTTCACACGTAATTCGAATTCGATTCGCATTAACTAATTCGAATTAGTTTAATTCGCATTCGAAACGTTTAACGTCCAAACGTAAATTCTAATACGAATTGCAATGCGCGTCAAATTCGCTTTACTGTCCGAACGACGTTAACTTTTAATTCATATTATCAATTAATTGATTAGAATCTAATTCGAATTACAATTTTAAAAAGTGTCCACACCACAGTTTAATTCGAATTAAAGCGAATTAACTAATTCGCATCAACGAAAACGCATTTTTAATGCGAATTGGATAATGCGAATTAGCCAATTCGAATTCGATTCGAATTAAAAAAAGAAGAGTGTGTGAACGCGATTTGCGAATTTGATTCGCATTCGATTCGAATTCAATTCGAATTAATGCTGCGTTCACACGTAATTCGAATTCGATTCGCATTAACTAATTCGAATGAGTTTAATTCGCATTCGAAACGTTTAACGTCCAAACGTAAATTCTAATTCGAATTGCAATGCGCGTCAAATTCGCTTTACTGTCCTAACGACGTTAACTTTTAATTCGTATTAACAAAAACGCATTTCTAATGCGAATTGGATAATGCGATTTAGCCAATTCGAATCAATGCGAATTAAAAAAGAAGAGTGTGTGAACGCGATTAGCGAATTCGATTCGCATTCGATTCGAATTCAATTCGAATTAAATGTACGTGTGAACGAGGCATAAATGTACGTGAGTACGAGGCATATAACAAATTAATCTTAAGTGCACTTCGGTGATTATAGTTCAAATGCAAAGTTTTTTTTCTTCAGAAATTACATTATTGTAAAAACATACATTTTCTTCTATAAATAATCACAATCAAGGACAACACAGCTAACCAATATTGTCACAATTTTCAAGCCAACAAATGAATGCCTACTTATCAATCGATATCCATCTTTGATTTCTTCAGGTATAAAGTAATTACAAAAAGTTCTCAACAGGTCATTAAAGTACCATGTAATTAATGTAAAGATTTTAAGTTTGCAAAATATTCTCTAATCAAGCAGTTTCTACAGGCTAAGAGGGTGTGGATGGGGGTTTACAGAATAGAGAATAATGGGCAAAAAATATAAAGAGTATAGAAAAATGGCCTAAAAAATTAAAGAATACAGAAATGAAGGACCCCATCCAGACCCTCAGCTAAGGCATTTAGTACAGTTAGTAACGGTAGATTTTGCCTAAAGTAAGAACAAACATTTTCAATTATATTTAATAGTTGTGTTATTCATTGAAAAAAAAAACATTAGAATGTCATTACGATTTTGTATCACAACATAGCAGGCTTGCTTTTATAAACCAGTCTTTAAGAATAGAGTCAAAACATCAATTAGTTTAAGCTCTAGTAATTTGTTTTATCGTATATATCTCCAAATACTGATTTATTTATTTTTTTATTTTTCCTGATTTCTTAGGAAAGTGCTATTAGAAACGATACAAATACACATAGCACGCAATGTAAAATATAGTGAATATAATTTTTATGATATTACTAAACGCCTGCTACAAGATGGTCTGGGTGTGGTTTATAGAATAGAAATTAGTGTATACATTGTAGACTAAATGGCTGCAAAATAAAGAAGAGAATACTATGGGGGAAAATAGAGAATTATGGGGTGCTGGTATATACAGAATAGAGAATAATGGACAAAATAAATAAAGAATAGAGAAACATGAAATACAAAAATTAAAGAATATATGGAATTATTTGGATATTTGGCATTAGAATGGAGATATATATATTGCATTTTAAGCTTGGCCTTCGTAAAACTTGTTTTTAATGTCGCTAGGCAAACATGACCTATGTTTTACGAATGCTAAGCTTAAAATAAAATACAATACAGTTATCTCATAAATACCATTACATTTAAAAACTAGATTCTTTCACAGAAATGGGACCGGAGGAGTAAGCAGATTCTCTGCACTAGTGACACTTATACTGAAATTAAACCTTGCAATTATTATACGTATATACAGTAATGAATACACCTTATCGCTATTTGTCCGCCATTACTGGACATCACACAGGTTCCCGTAAAATTTTGACGTCATAATACAAAATATCTGACGCCACAATGGAAAAGTGATTGTTGTATGACGTCAATAGTTCAAGCGGGACAGATTCTCGGGTCAGCCGGGAATAGCGATAAGGTGTATTGATTTCTAATGCGACACATTTTCTTCTTTGTTTTACTGCTAAAACAGGCGTATCGCGATGTTTTTCTCTGACTACGCAGAGCCTGTAGGAGGATCTGGATGGGGAAGGGGGGTGTAATTCATTTCTAATTTAGTAAATATTTTGGCTTAAAAATACCATTAATGAAAAAGTCCGCGAAACGGTTGCATCGTCTTTGGTATCTAAACAGTGTGACGTAACGTATTTGTGCTTTCCATACGCTTCTGAATGGTTTGAATATTGACAAAAATAAGACTTTGAGTCACAAAATGTGACTTTTTTGTTTATTATGCATTAGAATGATTCATTACAATTTCAATTGATAAAACCAAAATATAAAAAACGCACCTTCAATGCTGTTCTTCGTCTAAAAGTTGTTTCTGCAAAGGGGTATTTATTGCTTCTACACACAAACCTTGTTTTATTGTGTAGAACGTCATTGGTTTATGTAACGTCACAATATAGGTACGCACTGACGAAGACAAAAGACGGCGCCGGGGTAATGAAGCAAACTGAATTAAATGCAATAAAACAGTTAATCCAATTGTTACTGATTTTTACACTTTGTTCAGTCTAATGTTGTGCTGTTACACCACTGCCCAACGCTTGGTGTGAGAGCTC